AAGTGGTATGGAAGCAAGAGGCTTCATCACATGAGGCTGTTGCTAGTTATGATGGAAGAGTGTGAATCTCCCACGATTTCACCTGTTTCTAATCCACCAGCAGGACAGTCACCAGGAGGGGAGTAACAGCTGCCACTCACTTCACCATGGGCCTGAGACGACTGCCCTCTAAGGCTCAGCTGACACTTCCAGGGAAACACTGGCAGAGTAAGTCCTTTCTAATCTTTAATTTCATCCCCTCTCCCCCATTTGTCTGTTTTCTGTGGTAATAGTATGGCTCATTTCATTGTCACTTATTCCCCTTTCTCTTCCCTGAACCTGATCTCAGTGACAGCTGCCACTTTCTCGCTTGCCCCGGCCACCGCCTCCTGCTCGGCCTGACCACTGCTGTGGGGGGAGGTGGCCAGAAGCTGGAGCAAAGCAGAAGCAGAAGCAACTGAGACCTCAGGCACCTGGGAGGTGACTTTGTTCTGTGTAATCATAGCACAAGGCATGAATCCCTCCTGCTCTTGTCCTGAGCTGTCAACACAGTGCCTGGCACAAACCTAAATATTTAACTGTGATTGTTAAATACAGCCTGAGAGTAAGTGTTCAATAAAAGGGTACTGATTGCATGAGCAACCACATAGCAAAGCAGTGGGATAGCCTGTCTTTTGTATTCCAGATTGCTCGCTGTGTCTTTCTCTTGCTGCCCCTCTTTCTACACAAATCTTCCTGCCACCAGAGGTCCTGTTTTCTGGGCATATGTTTTCTGATATTTTCTGATATAATCTTTCCTAACCACATGCAATCCTGCTCCATCTATTTCTGTATCTCTTAACCTCCAGATTGTCTAGGCTTAAAATATAGCCAAGGACATTGGGCAGAAAAAATAAACTGAATTACAGTACTTTTTATTTCTTTGAAACACCTGCTTTATCCAAATAATACATGCACAGTTGTTTTTTTAGAAATCGAAGAAAATAGAAGACGTTATAATACAGAGACAGAACTAATTGGGTCTAAATGTTACCAGCCCTAATTCACCTCTCCACTGGCAACCACTGCTGCAGATTTTAGACCTTTTTGTAAATACTATTGCATTTCTTAATAATATGCTTGGACCACAATTTATTGGCTTTTCATATGGTCGATGCGATGTCATCTCACTTGGACATAATCTCTCCTGTCTGCCCACACAGGCATGTTTTCTATAGATGACAACTGCCACATTAAATAACACGCTTTACCCTTTTATTCTGTCCCCTATAAACAGTAAGGCCTAACATGTTTCAGTTAAGTGCCTGCTATGAACTGATGGATTGTGTCCCCCAAATTCATACTGTAACAGTGGGGAGGTGTCACCCATTCCATTGACGTTGTCTCTGTAAATGCTGACTCTGACTCATGTGCAGCTTGAGGATGAGCAGCATGTCTCTTTGGTGGAGATAGGCCTGTGAGTTCTGTCCAGGAATCCTCACCTTGCCTGCCGCTGGGGGTGGTGTGCATCTGGTGTGCCTGAGCTGGAGGAGTTGCCTGGACACATTTTGGCCCCTGTGAATAATGAAACTGCATTTTTCAAATGGAAGGTTAATCCGCAGCAGTGGGGTGGCTGAGGGCTGAAGCGGGGCCCAGGGGGTTGACAGACCCTGCAGCAGGAAGGTGACGGGGTCCTGTGTGGGGAGCAGGGGCCAGGCTGGGGATTTGCGCCTCACGTAGCGCGGGTCTGTGCAGAGGGCCCTAACAGTGCCACATTCTCCACCTTCCAGCATGTGAGTGGCTTCGAAATGTGACTTTGTAGCTCCCCTCGTCAAGAAGTCGAGTTTATTTCTCCATGTCTTGCCTCTGAGCTGAATAAGACTTCTGGCTGAAGGAATCTATGCCTGTTCCGAATCAAGGCCCCTTGAGGCCTGGTGTTTCTGCTCCTTCTCTTAGAACCTGAAGAGCTGCTGTGGGTACAGACTCGAGGTTGCCTATGAAATGGCAGACACACAGCCTGGTCCCTCTCCCATTGCCCGTCAGTAGCCCAGAGACCCAAGAAGCACAGCCCCTCTGCTGACTTGCTGCTCAGGTGTGTGTGCGCAACTGAGACACGGACCTGCTCAGCAGACCTGGTTCAGCACACCCAGCCATCACCCACAGAATTATGAACCAGCACTGGCAATCCTATATAATAAAGGGGTAATATGCAAATTGACCATTCATGATTCTGTGGGTGACGGCCGATAAATTTAGTGAGACCCTGGAGGATATGAAAAAAGACCCACTAGAAATTAAGCATACACTGACTGAAATAAAGAATATTATACAGAGTTCCGACAGCAGACTAGAAGATTGCAAGAATCAAGTCAAAGATTTGAAATACGAAGAAGCAAAAATCACCCAACCAGAAAAACAAAAAGAAAAAAGAATCCAAAAATATGAAGATAGTGTAAGGAGCCACTGGGCAACTTCAACCGTACCAACATCCGAATTATGGGGGTGCCAGAAGAAGAGTGAGAGCAAGATAAAGAAATAGACTTATAAGTCCAGGAAGCACAGAGAACCCCAAACAAAAGGAATCCAAAGAGGACCACACCAAGACACATCATCATTAAAATGCCAAGAGCAAAAGACAAAGAGAGAATCTTAAAAGCAGCAAGAGAAAGAAACTCAGTTGCCTACAAGGGAGTACCCATACGACTGTCAGCTGATTTCTCAACAGAAACTATGCAGGCCAGAAGGGAGTGGCAAGAAATATTCAAAGTGATGAATGCCAAGACCCTACAACCAAGATTACTTTACCCAGCAAAGCTATCATTCAGAATTGAAGGTCAGATAAAGAGCTTCACAGATAAAAAGCTAAAGGAGTTCATCACCACCAAACCAGTATTATATGAAATGCTGAAAGGTATCCTTTAAGAAGAGGAAGAAGAAGAAAAAGGTAAAGATACAAATCATGAACAACAAATACACATCTATCAACAAGTGAATCTAAAAATCAAGTGAATAAATAATCTGATGAACACAATAAACTGGTGAATATAATAGAATCAGGGGCATAGAAAGGGAGTGGACTGACTATTCTTGGGGGAGAAAGGGGTGTGAGGGTGCGGGAAGAGACTGGACAAAAATCGTACACCTATGGATGAGGACAGTGGGGAGGGGTAAGGGCAGAGGGTTGGGTGGGAACCTGGTGGAGGGGAGCTATGGAGGGAAAAAAGAGGAACAACAGTAATAATCTGAACAATAAAGATTTAATTTTTTAAAAAAAGAGTGCTGGTGTTTTTTTTTAAGATAATATCTATTTTTTAGACGTACACCTTAATAAAGATGTAGGTCACATAACCTTTACCCAAACTTCTAACACCTGTAGCTGAACAGTACTCAGTATGTTTGTGGGATAAAAGTTCTTTGTAAGAGATTATAAAACATATTATTTTGAAGCAACATTACCTTTCATGAGAAAAACTATGGGCAGGAGTCTGAGCTTTGGAACCGGATGACCCCGAGCTTCACGTCCTGGCCCAATACCTTACTAGCCTGTTGTCTATGAGCAAAATACTTAACCTGCCTGTTAGTTTTCTTCTTTGTAAAATAAGATTGATAACACTACCTTGAAATATTATTCAGGATTAGATGGAGTAACATATACAAAATGCCTCCTACAAAAATATATGGAGGAAAGGTAGTTACCATTAGTAGACTCATATTTGTGTTATAAAAAGAAAATTGGGGAGCATGTGTTTATTTTTTAAAAACACCTTTTACTTATATTGATTATGTGTGGGTTGGAAACATCATGAGCAGGAATGAGTTAAAATGGTTTTTCCTTTTAATTAAGAATAAATCAATGACATTGTAGGATGTTTGATTTCTTCCAAAGGGAACATGACACAATAGCATTTTTAATTCGAGGGAGGCACAGAGTTGAAATCAAAGCCAGGGCGGAGTCCAAGAGGGCGCTTGACTGGAAATGGCCCGGGCGATCTAGGCTCGACACCTGCTATCCGCTCTGTGGGTGTGCGTGGGGCCTGAGGAGGGTGTCAGTGAGGCCCTCTTTCACCAAGTCCCAGGCGTTGACTGCAGTATAAATCCCAACAGAGAGGTGGTAACAGTGATGGAAACAAAGCATCTATTTCTATTTTTGACGTAACCAGTCACATTACCACTAATTAACAGCCTTTGTTCTTGGCTCTGTGTTAGCCAGACTATCCCCACTTGATAGAATTTCACTATTTAGTAGAGCTGACACAGACACAGGCTGGGAACAGATGTAGAAAAACTAGATAAATACAACAATCAAAGTGAATATTAGTAAATGTTCAATAAACACAGGGTAGCAAGAAGCCTATTTACAATGAATAGTGATGTGGGACAGAGGAGAAAACAGAGCGATGACAGAGATTGAAGTCCTCACCCAGCCACGCCGCTGAGAGAGGCCTCAGGACCGCTGAGCCTGCTCCAGGGTCAATCCGGAAGGCCCACGCTGCAGACTGACACTCACGGTGGCCCCTTTGCTTTCTATTAACTACATTTTCCCTTTAAAACCATTTTTCCTATCAACTAACCCCAGATTCCTCTGACAGTGGAGAAGGCTTCCAAAGCTCTCTCCCTGTGTTCTCCACAGGAGCTGGAATATTCTAACTTTGGGGCAGTTCCTTGATTCTGAGGCTGTGATTGCTGTCCAGGTGCAGAGATCCTTGGGAACACGGATGTCTAAGCAGGCTTTTCCAGTTCCGTCACATTGCAAAGGGGGAAAGCTTTGTCACAGGGTCCCCTGTGCCTGGGGCGGAGACTACGCTGCCTTCCAATATTCTTCCCTTCTTCTGTGACAGAATTCCTGCCGCTCCCTGGGCACCTGTTCACCCAGAATAAAGACTACATCACGCTCATCTTTTCCCACCCCGCCTCCAATAGCAATCCCTTCGGACCTCTGGGTATGGGACAGACCTGCCTGTAGGCGGTGCAGGGAACATGCGCGGCCACACATGTCAGCCAACCAGGAGGAAAGGTGACTGCACTAGAGTGAAACATGTGAGCTGTGGGAGGAGTGACTGCACGTGAGGAAGGACCCGGCTGCCCTCCGCTGCTGGCTCTGGCTCCAGCGATGCGCCTGCTCCCTTTGTAGGACCGGCTTTGGGTGAACATCCCCGCGCGCCCGGGGCTGGGGTTGGAAGGGGCCGCCGGCTCGGTGCGCCAGGGCGAGGTCCTGGGAGCGGTTCTCTGCGTGGCGCCTGGACTGCACGCGCCTCCCGGGGAACGAGCCTCTGTCCGCGTCAGCAGGCGCCCACGTCCCTCTCTCCCTCCGCCATCCTCCCCCACCTCGTCTTTGTGCTGCGCGTGTGTCTGCGCCTCCTGCGGAGACCGCGCCTCCGGTGGCAGGAACCCGACTGGGAGAAGGGGCCGCGCCCGCCATGGATCTGTACGGGAAGGTGAGCGAGGGCGCCCTGGGGCCCGCGGGCCCGCGCCTCCGGACCTGAGTGTGTGTGTGTGTGACAGTGTGCGCGCGCGTGTGTGCGTGAGTGGCTGTGTGCGAGCGCGCGTGTTTGTGTGCCTGTGTGTGCACGCGCGCGTCAGTGTACGGCGTGTGAGGGTGTGTCCGTGTGAGCGCGTGCGTGTGCCAGTGTGAGTGCGTGTGAGCGCGTGCGTGTGCCAATGTGAATGCGTGTGAGTCGGGGGGGGGTGTGCGCGCGCACGCGCCTAACGCGATTGTGCGGGAACTCACTTGGCTCGTGTGTGTGTTGTCCGTCGTTTTCTCCCCGCGCTTCGGGGTGACAATGTGACACCAGCCCCCTTGCCTGTGGAAGACACTTTCTGGGTCGGCACGGCGGGTGCAGGGCGGAGAGTGGGACCCCGCGCAGGCGTCCAGCGGTCCTGGGGTCGTTTCTGTTGGTCTTTAGCACCAGGAAGCGCTTCCTACCCGGGACTCACGGGGTCGCTTCGCAAGGTGACAGGTGGGAACCAGAAACCTGCAGTGAGCCGAGTTGGGGTCACGTTCGCTCTCACCGGGGGAGGGGCGGGCGGCGGGGCTGAGCGCGGTCGCTGCTGAAGTAGCCGGCCGAGCGGCTGTGGGGGCGGCGGTCTGGCCGCTGAATCGCCGGGAGTTGTAGTTCCCGGCTCGCAGGCTCGCAAGACGCGTCCGGGGCTCAGACTACAACTCCCAGGAACGCGCGCGTCGGGCAGCAACGCGCATGCGCTCCAGGAGGGGACAGCGCCGGTGCTGATCCCCGGCAGGTCGGCGGACCGGGAGCGGAGCGGGGAGCGCGTGCCCGGCCAGCGCCGTCGTCCCCGCGAGCGAGGACCGAGAACAATGAGGCACGAAGCTCCCGTGCAGGTGGGTCTGTGCGGAGCGGGGGGCCTCGGGAGGGACTGACGGGGGTGCTCGGGCCAGGCGGCCACGGCGCGGAGCCGGCTCCGACTCGGTCCGCGGACAGACGGTCCCCGCGCCGCGGGCTGTGCCGGGATGAGGGGCTCCGCAGGGACCTGAGCGCGTCCTGAGCCGGTGAACCGCAGTACGGGGCGCGGGGTCGTGTGTCCTCGTCTCCTCGGGTCTGTGGCCGCGGGGCGCGCACAGGCGTCGGAGCTGGGGGCGTCCAGCGGTCCTGGGGTCGGGACGACCGAGCGCCTCCACGAGCGGGAAGGGGAAGGGGAGGCGGTGTGACGGTCCCCACGACCCGTCCTCCGTCAGGGGCCGCGCCGCGTCCGAGCCGGGGGAGGAAGGGCGCTTAGGGCTTGGCGCACCCGAGAGCCCCTTCCCCTCTGACCCCGGCTGGCTCACCCCTGCCCTTCACCTCTGACCCCGGCAGGTTCACTCCTGCCCCCCAGACCCTGCCCCCTCCTCCCCCGCGCTGGGGCCATAGCTGTGCGCCCGGCCCGTCACTCCCCCTGGGCTTGCTTCCCTGGACTCGGGCGCCTGAGCATCGTGATTACATTTTGTTTCCCAGTGAAGACGAGTGAACGCTGGACACCAGCCTGTTCCCGAGCCACGCGCAGCAGAAAGGCGCTGGGGGACGGGGTTCGCAGGAGAGTGGGCTCCCCATTTGCGACGGGAGTCTCTCCCGAGAACCCACCTCTGCTGCCAAATCCAACCGAATAAATATTTGACCGTAACTCCTGCTTAAACGTTTTCAGTGAATTTCTTCATGAATCAAAGACTTTGAGCACATGCCTCTGTGTACCTTCCATCTATTTTATAGGCTGTGTGCGTGAAGGTGGGCACTGATTGGGTGGCTAATGGAAATCCAGTCCGTAGAATCTCTTTGTTGAAGGTTACAGGATGGAAGCCCTCCAGTTACCTTGTGGGTTATTGACAATCTGATTGTTCCCCAGAAGGGGAGCCCCCTGGTGTGTTTCCTGTCCCTCTGTGTGTGACGTGGCTTTTCATTATGAACTGATGTGAACACAATCTGGACAGACAATAAAGGTACAGGCGGTGGCAATCAAGATATATTGGCTTATGATAATTTGCCATTGCTGGAGATCCTGCCTGGAGCCAACTGGCTCAATTAGTTGTATTTGATTAGAAGTAAACATTGACAATAGAGTTTGAAGGTAGATGGGTAGTAGTTAAGTCAACCCCCTATATCCACGGAAATCAAAATAAATTATGAAAAAAGTCAGCACACTGCATCTTGATTTTTATTTGTGTACAAGAGTTGCTTAGAATCTTTAGAGGGTCACTAAAATGTTACAAAATTAAATGAAATTAATGCCTTAGGAGATATTTTAAATTATTTCATATAACTATATAGTAGGCACTTAAATGAAGAATTAATATCAAAATAGGTGATGAAATAAATTTGTTCATGAATGCAGTTATTTTCATATTTATGGTGTACTTTATTGATTGGACTAGATTTTTGAGATTTAAATATTTAAGTGCCCCAAAACTATCATGAATAATATGTACATTTTAAGAAATCAAAAACTAATTTTCTGTGGTATATTTACTTAAAGCACATTCATTGTTTCAATTTAACAAGTAAATTGTTGTTTGGGTGACACACTCTTCATTATAATCAGGTTTTCAAACATAATGACAGGAAGAATAAAACCTATAAACATGCTTCATATTTCTTAAGTGGCAATAATGTCTCAGCACCCATACTTCTGACGCACGATCCCATCCCAGGAGACTTTGATATATGAAAATGCAACGAGATAAATAGTTGACATTTCTTTTTCTTTCCATTTAAAACTGAATGAACTACATCATTATTTTAAATATATGTCCCAAATTTTACTTAGGTTTCTGGACAATGAGTAACAATCAAAATCTCATCCAATAGTTACATTATCTTAAGAGACTCTTTTCACCACTTAAAAATATTTAGTTCATTTATTGATGTGAAACAAAATGAGCTCTTTAATTGTTGATTTCCTACTTTACTTGCTTATTTTCTTAAATAAAAGAAGCCTTGGAAAATTCTATAAGGTCTTTTAAAGGTGTTCTGTTCAAGGTAGTTGTTTCTGACATAAGCATTTTTTTTAAACTATTGCTCTTTGAGTTGATGCAAAGTGATGGATAATAATTGCTTTCTATAGTGACTATTAAAATAATATACAGTGATAACATTTAGTATCTATATTTCCTTCATAACTAAATAACCAGGTGTGCTTTGGTAAGTGTTCCAAGTGATGGGCTAACATGTTAGTGCAGGAGATGGTCATTGTGTGCCTTCTGATTCAGTGCCTGCATCAATCCCGAGGCCAAGTGGAACAGTGCTCATAACATGAGGCAAAGACTGATGGACAACTGTCATTTGATTCAGGAGCCAGACTGAACAAATTCCAGTTCATTTAGTGCTTTGTCTGCACCAAGCACCACTGTGCCTTGCATTCAGGTTGCTGTGTGTGTGTGTGTGTGTGTAAATATAAGGCAGTCCTAGAGGTCACCACTTCTCATTACAGCCACAAAACTGCAGCTTATTAAGAATAAGGAACTATCCCAACATGGCAGGTTCGAGACTCTGCCAGATCTCAGGCTAGAAAGCCTGGGTTCTTCCTTTGGTGATTTTGGGCTCCCCAGGAAGACACGGAAGAGGATTGTGCAGAGTGAGGGCTCTATTGCTGTAAATTAATCCCTTCATTCGGTTCAGAAGAAAGAAAAATTGTCTCTATGTTCTCTTTAGAAAACAAACTTGTGTGAAGTAAACCAAACATTTCGGAAGGGACGTTGTTGTAAAAATGGCCGGCTTTTTGCTTCCTGGATTTGAATTTCCTGCAGGTTTGCTTACTCTCTCACAGGACCAAATGGGATGAATCCATTGTCTCTCATTAAATGCTTAGTCTTCAGTTTTGTTATTCACAAGCTTTTTGGGTCATCTCATCAATGCAGAGCCTCCTGACTGGCAAATTTCAAAGGAAAACATCTACCCAATGGATGAAGTAGAGTGTGAAAACAAAATAAAAATAAAAGAGGTTTGGCTACAAATGAGGAGGATTGAAGAAAGAATATAGATGCAGGCTGAAGATGAAGTTGAGGTGAAAAGCCATACTCACTATTAAATACAGTCATGCTGTATAGAAAAACTGATGAACAAACTGTCGTGGTTTCATTTGACCATGAGAAGTACATGGCACTCTTGCAGTTCATGACTGATGAACTTCTGTCCCTGTCCAGCCTCAATGATGATCCCTCTATCTGTATAAGAAACGGAAATTTAGTTCCGTACCTTACAGGAACGGAGAAAAACCTGGGTGACATTGGAGAAACGTTCCTCCTCCATTTGATCAGATTTCTGAGGTGCCCGCCTTTCCTCTGTGAGGATAGAAAGGGGAGTTAACCTATAGCAAAGTAAACCTCTGTGGTGTGAAAATGGTTTTCCAGTTCCACATTTCAGTCCAAGAAGGTATGGATTTGTTACATGCGTAACCACAATTTCCCCTGCCATTTTAAGCTTATACTGGAACTAGAAATTCCTTTCCTCATCATCCTATTCCAGGAAGCAATGATATTTTCATGCTCAGGGATGGGTTTTCCTGTGATTGTTCTTACACCAAGGACACTCAGCTTGCTGCGTACAAACAGTTGTGCCACCTGAAATAAATGCCTTAGAGGCTAAACATTTTCCCCTTTTCATTCATTAACTGGGTTCCGAGAGCAGGGGTGGGGAATGTCCGGCCCGCAGGCCAAATGAGGACCGTGAACTCATTTGGTCTGGCCCTGCCAAGGCATTAGGGGTGAGTTAATTAAATGTTTGACCAACTATAGCAGGCTAACTTTTAAGTTGATAATTTTGCATGGCCCGTGAATGATGTTATAAATATCCAATTGGCCCTTGGCAGAAGAAAAGTTCCCCACTCCTGGGCTAGACGCCCCATTGTAGTAGGTCACCATTTATTGTCAAGGATGCTGTGACCTGTGAAGATTATACCTTTTAGATTTATTTGGAATTATACAGATCGTCAGCATTTCTCATTTGTTCATTCATATTTTTTGAGATATTTATATACATTGAAATGCAAAAATCTTGAGTGAGCACTTTGATGAACTTTGGTAAATGGCTACACCTTTGTAATACTCACCACGATAAAGATACAGAACATCTCCAATCAACCCCCAAACTTTCTTCACTCATATTCTTTTTCCAGTTAATCCACTGACACAATAATCTTAACTTTTTTCACTTAAATCAGTCTGTTCTAGAACTTTATGTAGTTCTATAAAACTTATATCAACATACTGCACAACATACAGCAGGTACTCTCAAGTCCAGCTTATTTTGCTCAGAATAGTGTCTTGAGGATCCAATGTTGTTGCATTTATCAATAATTCACTCCGTTCCATTGATGTGTATTGTACGGTTGTATCAATCTGTCATACTCTTTAAATCCATTCCATTGATGGACTTGAGGTAATTTCCCATTTGAGGCGATTATGATGAAGACTGTAAACATTATTGTATTGTTCTTTCTGTAATATGAGGTTTTTATATCTCTTGGGTAAATGCCTAGAAGTGGAATTGATGGTGTCAAGGGTAAGTGCATGTTCAACTGTATAAGGAACAGTGAAACCTGGAGCCCTGTTTATCTCACCGTTTGACCTTCCCATTTGACCTTCTCACCAGCAGTGTGAACATTCCGGTGGCCCCACAGCCTCGATGGTGTCAAGGGCGTCAGTGGCCTTTCTAATGTTGGCCCCTTTTATGGGTGTTTTGTGGTATCCCCCTGTGACATGAATTTGCATTTTCTTGATGACAAGTGACGCTTTGCATATTCCCATCTGTTTCCTGGCCATCACTATGTCTCCCTTTGTGACGTGTCTGTTTAGCCTTTTGTCCATGTTGAGGGCTATCTTTTTATTGTTTAGTTGCAGGAGAGTTTATAATTTTGAAATTCGTTCTTTAAGTATATTTAAAATATTTTCTGCCAGTGTATAGCTTGGATATTCATACTCTTAATATATTCGGATGAGTTTACCACCCAAAGTCAAATCTTGGAAGGAATCTTTATAGCAAATCTCTGGAGGCATTTTTTGAGGGCTTAAATATTTAAAAATAACATTAAATATTTTTAAGTATTTAATGATGACTATTTCTTGGGAGACACATATACTAATATTAAAATTTAGTTTCCCCTCCATGGGAGTTGTTAGAGTATTTTACTGGTATTTTGGAGAGGTTTTTCCTTGTATGCATAGTGCTGGGTATGTCCATTATGTCTACTTCTTACTTTGTTATTGCGAAGACACACTCTTGCGAGAGACATTCTTCATCTGCGGTTCCAGTGTGGACGCAGCTCCTGCAGCTCTCGGTGCTTTCTCGCGGCGTGAGGGAAGCAGAGTACAGCTGTGTTATTTTTTTAAATGACTGATGGAGAAGGTCAGGGCCACCTTCCACAGCTGAGCTGAGCAGGACCCGGCTCTGCTCTGAAGATACGCTGCCTGCCCTGGCTGGTTTGGCTCCGTGGATAGAGCTTCAGCCTGTGGACTAAAGGGTCCCGGGTTCGATTCCAGTCAAGGGCACATGCCCGGGTTACAGACTCGATCCCCAGTAGGGGGCGTGCAGGAGGCAGCTGATCAATGATTCTCTCTCATCATTGATGTTTCTCACTCTCCCTCTCCCTTCCTCTCTGAAATCAATTTTTTTTTAAAAAAAGGACACAATGCCTTCTTCTTACTGGGTGGACCTCCTCATGTCTGACAGGGAGTTGCAACAGGTCACACCACAGCCTGAGCCCACAGAGGGCCCTGCCTCTCCAGGGGTGAGAGAGTTTCCAGAACTCAGCTTGTCTGGGCAGCGGCATCCAGTGTGCAGACCCTTTGCAAAGCTCAGCACCCAGGGTGAAGGATTTGCGCCAAAATGTCCAATTCCTCAGAGAAGACCTCTACTGTAGAGGTCGCATGCATGGATGTATAGATTCAACACCATAACAAGTTCATTTTTTTTGTCTTCTATCTGATTTGCATTTTGATCAGGTCTTCAATGAATATATTAAATTCGTATTGATCAAACTTATAAATGACACAAATATGGAATGGATAACTATTTTTTATGAAAGGACATAAAATGATCAGATCTGAATTAAATCACAGATCAAAGCAAACAAAAGAAAATGTAATAGGGTCAATATAAAGATTGACATTTCCATTAAAAATAAATTGCCCAAGGATGGGCCGGGATGGGGGAGACCTGTGTGTGTGTGACAATTAATGTGAAAAAGTGCTGAGCCTTCCAGGAGTCTTTACGATAAGTCATGTGTGTTTGGACACAACAGCACACTTTCCCCTGTGCCAACCCCGGAGAGATGTCCGTGTGAGCCTCACAGCTGGGACCACCCAGCGGAGCAGATGACGCTTCAGGGCTGTGCTTGGTCCCTGAGACACCAGCGGTCCCTCCGATGGGAGAGGACCCACCGGCAGAATGTAGAACACATGGGCAGAAGCTACAGGAGGGAATTTTCACAGAAATCCAAGAAAAAAATGTTTGGCCATTGCAGTTGTTTAACTGCGACATAGGCTGCTTCAGAGCTGGCTCACTCCGGCCCCTGGTGTGAAGGGCAGGCCAGAGTCTCCCTGAGCCTGGGTGCTGGGAAGGGGGCCGGGGTCAGGGGAGGTGGCATCGCTCTCAAGAATCGTTTTACTCTGTGGTGCTTTTGTTGGAAATTAATTCAAGATGAATGGAACTTAAAGAGTTATTTTTTCTGTATCTTTTCTGAAATCCAGTTTGCTCTGTGGGAGGTTACTTCATGCCTATTCATGTTTCCAGATTTTAGCTCTATTTTTCCACGAAAATGTGGAAAATGTCCGCATGAGTTGGTATGTAGGGTGTCAGTATACTCGCTCAGTGAGCGCCTGTGATTCCCTCTACATTCCCGTTGAACTGCCTCATCTCTGTTCTCAGCAAGACGTCCGGCTCTCTGTCCACCCTCTGAGCCAGGATTTACTTTATTCTAAAGTTTAATAATACACATGCATTCCCAAGCACAGCTTCTTGGCTCTCTGTGAGTCTTATTGGGGATATAAATCAGGAAATATTAACAAAAATCTTCCAGAATAGTGGTTAGCAAACTCCTTTCCTTAACCCTTCAGAGGCTTGGGGTCCCCATCCCCGCAGCTCTGCCTCCCTCGCCTGAGCCCTCTGTGCCCACCCACGCTCTGTGCCACCCTCCTCTCTGCTCCCAGCTCAGAGGATTAGCAGACGCAAGGATGAACATACTCAATTCCTGTCCGGGGGAAAGCTGCACTGCGATTTTCTCCACCTAAACCTCCACAGTTATATTCAAAGTCTATACATTGAGGAGGTCTCTATTTCTGCAGGTTTGGAAGCGTCTAATTTTGGAGTAAGATTTGGGATTAACAGCAGCAGAGAATTTACCACATTTTTTTTTTGAGGGAACGGGGTTCAGGAGCATCCCCCCTCAGTGGTCGTTGTCAGGCTGAGCAGTGAGCAGCCTGGGTCTGTGTTGTCTGTTCTCACTGTGCCTGACTGAACGTGGCCAACCCAGAAGCAGGATCTGGGCTGGTTTCCATAAAAGATGGTGACAGGATCCCAACAAAGGCACTCGCAGGCCTGGCTGAGCTCGGCAGCTGCATGAGCTGAAAGGACGATGTCGGCAGGAATGTGCCCAGCAACACAGCCACCAGGCGGTCTGGGTGCCAGCGGCCTCAGAGCCAGACCTCATTGCTCACCCGACGTCAGGGTGACGTCCCTGGGTCTGTCCTGGCTGGTACTTGTGGGCGGTTTGCCCTGAGCCAGAAAGGGAAGTGGGGACACCTGCCATTTAGTGGCCAGGCCTTCCCTCTGGCCAATGCTGTGCGCGTCGTAATGACTGGAGACCTCGGTGTCGTTACTTGACTTAAAAAGAGAAATGCCTATGCGTGTACTTAGTAAGGAAGTGTGAGCGCAATCAGCATTTTATAATATCGACTGGCTTTCTTTTGTCTTTATTCTTACACTCACAGTTGTGTTCTCTTACTGGCAGTAAGTATTTGTCAAAAGGGAAAATGTTATCTTACCTTCTCCCTTTCTCCATGGCCCTCGGCTATCTATAAACACGTGCACACATGCACATATGCACATGCACACACACACGCACATGCACACGCACACACACACCTGACCTCAACAACCTTGGCGTGGGTGAGGCTGAGCACTCTGTTCTGTTTCTAGCGTCTGTCCCCCTGTCCACTGGCCTCGCTCTTTGACACCCCCCCCAGGAAGCTGTAATTGTTCATCCGATTCTGTGGGAAATGGAAGGGACAGTGTGGCCTCACTCTGCCCTGAGGACCATGCTGGTGCCCGTCCTGTCCAGTGCAGTGACCGTGGACGCCTGTGACGTGTGGCGGAGGCTCTGGTGCTTATCTCATTCCATTGTCATGAACTAGAACAGGTGCCCGTGACCAGTGGCGATCGCCGAAGATTCATCGCGTCAGAAAAGGGGCGGGAAGATGTATGTGACTCCGTGTTCCACATGCCTCTTCTGCACGAGCCAGATGGCACTTGGAAGTAAGGCTGCTTGGTCTCCGTAGATGTTAGGCGATCGTTTAAAAAAGAGAAAGAGGAACAACAGCCTCTGAGTAAAGCATGTGTGGTTAACAGCAGCCTTCTCCATGCTGGGCCGGTGCTCTACACGTCTGCTCTACGAGCATTACTTTCACACATGTCCCAAGTGAGGTCACAATTTCTTCCATTTCACGTGAGAGGGAAGTGAGGTGCAGACTTACAATAACAAACAGGAGCATGTGGTGGGCGGGGGCGGGGGTGTGTGTGTGGCTGATCCAGGGGGGTCCCTTGTCGATGCACCTCCCATAGCATAGCCTCCCCCTTGGTCTTTCCCACGTAATAGTCCCGTCCTTGCTGGGGACAGGACGGAGGGCCTGCCCGCATGCCTCTGGGACGTGTCACTGAAACTGAGTGCACTGCTCCATGCTGCTAAGCCTCTGTGTTCTCCTTTTAATGTGGAGATAATGAGGCACCGCCTCCTGGGCAGTCATGAGGGTTAAAGGAATGACTGGTTCCTGGCACATTGTGTGAACCATATGTACTTGCCATCGTCATGGTTCTCGATTTGAAAGAGCTGCCGTGTGTTCGGCTGCTCTGGTAACGCGATAGGAATAGATGAAATAGAGATGCCTGGGTGTGCTTGCCCAGGAGACGGGAGCCTCTAGTTACTGGTCACTCGGGAAGCAGCTCCTGCCGCTCGGACCCGTGGTGTTGCCTTTGTGTGTCGGAGCCCACGTGCCCAGCCCGTCCTCACATCTTTGCTTTTCATGTCGCCCATGGATGTCCCCTTGGTGCTCTGGTTGGCTCTGAATGCCATGCAGGGCCAGCGCCAGCGCATCTGGGCAGCTGTGGGCCTGCCCCCACCTTGCAGGGGGACCGATGGCCATAGACACGCCTCAGGGACAGAGCCACTGCCTGTCCCCAGGGCCTGATATCTGCTCACAGCCCATGCGAGTGGGTGCTGCTGCTGTCCACGGTGGGCTGACCCCTCCTTGTTCCTCCACAGATGGCCGCCGCCCAGGATGTCCGGTCTGGCCAGAAAGACTCCTCCGACCAGAACTTTGATTACATGTTCAAGCTGCTCATCATCGGCAACAGCAGCGTGGGCAAGACCTCCTTCCTGTTCCGCTACGCGGACGACTCCTTCACGTCCGCCTTCGTCAGCACCGTGGGCATCGACTTCAAAGTGAAGACTGTGTTCAAGAACGAGAAGAGAATCAAGCTTCAGATCTGGGTAAGTGGCTGTGCCGAGTGTGCTCGGTCCTGGGCGTGGGGCACACGTGTGCGGGGAGGGCTCCTGCCCATCTCCGCGCCACGGTCCCGATGCAGCGCTTTGCTGTGGGGCATTGTTTTAGGGCGGGAGCGAAGCCACTTTAAGGCTTGGAAACTGTGCCTGTTGTCAAGTCGTGCTTCTTATGAGCGCCCAGAAAAAGGAAAACGTATGGCCACTATGTTGGTGGGAGGAGCGGTTGGACTGTTCGGCCTTATGACCCCGTGACCTTGAGCACCATGAAGCCTTCCTCACCACCTTTCCAACCCACAGACCAGCAAAGTGGGTCTCACCTTTGATGCCACAGGACACAGGCAAACAGCCAAATGCAGGGAAGCGAAGTCTGTCCCTTCAAAAATCCCAGCTGCAACCTCAGACGAGGTTGATTTATACTTCACAGACTCTGTGTCCTCAGCCCTAATAGGTATGTTTATCCACACAAAGAAAACAAAGCAAGAGGAATAAAACGTTTATTTTAAACATGGTTTCCCTGAGCACAAGGAGCTCCATCAGCTTAGAGACCAACTGGCCTCCCTGCTTCCATCAATAGACCAGGGATTTGTCACCAAACTGCTGGGGTAAATCAGAGTGGCCAGTGAGAGACAGAAGAAATGCAGGTGGGCAGTGGGGCCAAGGTCAGATGGGAGACGAAGGATCAGGAACATGGGTGCACAGGAGAGAACTGCTACGCATTCACGTCTACGAAGTAAAGTGTAGGCCACCGGTCGGCCATTTCCATGAGTGCAGGCCCCTTTTCCTGTCCATGATCCTCAGCTGCTGATGTCGATTTGAGCTGCAAACAGGCTTTTCCCATGAGGGAGGTTTCTCCTGAGCTGGTTCTGACACCACCTGGTGCAGGTGCCGGGCTGGCCCCGACCCAGGGTGAGCCTTACTGCTCGAAGGAGCTGAGAGACAGGCTGTGGGCAGAGCGCCCTTATGCACATGTCGGTGACACTGGGTGCCCTTCCACAGCTCAGCTCTCAGTGCACAGACTGGCGTCCTCACAGGTGTCTGCAGTGGGTTCCTGCTCTTCCACTTGTCTAACTGGGGTCTTCCCAGCCCGGCTGCAGTCAGGGGAGAGTGCGGGGAAGTGGATGTGCCTGTGGCTTTGTCATGAGAAGTCTCCTCGCAGGCGGTGCATGGTTGTGCGGTGGCCCTCTTACAGGGCGTGTCCCAGGTGCTGAGGGAAGTGTCTTAGAAGGGGCTTGAGCAGCAGTGAGCGGAGGCATGAGGAGGCGTGCAGAGTGACAGGGAGTGCCCTGGTGTTGTTCCCACAGCTGGGGTCTGCTTGGTGATGTAGTGTGAGCTCCGGGAAAACAGTGAGGTTGCACAGTTCCTACTGTCTGTCGGCTTCAGGAAATCATTTATTTGGGAATGTGTTTGACGTTGATGGTGTGCTGTCTCATTGCATTTCCATCACTTCCCGGCTGCTCTTCCCGGTTCATGGTATTTCCACGGACTTCTCCCAAAGTGCAAACACGTTGTCGAGATGTGCGGTCATCTTGGCCTGTGCTACCCTTGCTCCTGCTCCCAACACTGATACCACGCGTGTGGGACTGGCACACCAGCAGTTCCTTTGTTCTCTGCTGTCTGACATGACACCAGGAGTGGTAGGGACTCACAGGTAACGACTTATTGCCCATAGGACACAACTCAGGAGCAGAAGAGAGAAGAGGTGCACATGACAGTCAATTAGCATATTCCCTCCTTATTGGCTGTGGGTGCCGCCATCATTGCAATGGTGTGGGGTCAATTAGCATATTCCCTCTTTATAAGATAGGATTATAAAGGGCACAACTCAGGAGCAGAAGAGAGAAGAGGCGCACAGGACAGAGGGTGGGAGGGATGAGGTGCTGCTTCTGTGTCCCCTCTGGGCGTGGCACCTGCACGATGGTGCGCTCTCCCCCCGACGCGCACACATTTTCTCCTCAGGGTGTGTGGACCTTCCATTTCAGGCCCCAGTGGATTAAAATCACTGGCCATTGCTGATTAACCTGGTATTCAGCACCTGTCCCCCAGTAGGTGGGGGAGGAGGGGTGAGGGGACGTTCTAGTCCTTTGCTCCCATGGTTTGCTCTTCTGCAAACAGTCCTTGTCCTGAGGCCTTGGAGGGGCCACCAGGGGTCCCCTTGTGGGCAAGACCTGGGTGGAGGGAGGGCTGTTGTGAGTAGTCACCAACGATGGACCTCAGGGTCTCAGGAGCCTGCACCAGGAGCCAGGAGGAGAGCAGACCTGCGTCTCTTACTCTGTGGCCATATCTCAGCCTCTCGTCTGTTTCAAAGGGGGAGACACAAAGTGGGTTCACAGAAACGAAACCTGTCGTGATTGGTCCAATGCACCAAACGGCTGCAGATATCTATGTAATTCTGTTCACTCTCCTGATTTTAAACTGCCCACAGGAGAGCTACCTTCAGGAGAGGAAACCAAGGTGTAGAGAGGCTAAGAGACAAGGCAGAGCAGGGTCTCAAGTCCAGTCCGCTGGTGCCGGCCGGTCTGGTGCTGACCCGCCAGTTCCGCAAGGCCAGTGCTGAGTCAGGGCAGTTGTGCTCTGTCGGACCTGCTCGTCAGGCACCCACAGGCCCGGGAGCTCCAACCCGAGGCCAGGCCTCAGGAGGGATTCTGTCAGGAGGCAGAGCTGGGGACTCCCTGTTTCTGCTCCCCGGTGTGCTGCATGGGGTCTCCACACCCACACCCTGGACAGCTGGTTTCCCACAGCCCACAGCCAAGTACAGCGTGGCTACAGCCACAGAAACGTGACGTTTCTTCTCGGACGTGTCCTTCCTGCTGACGTCCATCACTGCCTGGGAGCGAGCCTGTCTAGAGAACATTGCCGTTCGCTTGCACGAGTCACAGACTCTGTGTCTGTCAGTGCACGTGCGCTCCCGCTGTCTTCACTGCCTTGGCATTCCTGCGCACTTCCGTTTCACTGTCATTTTTATGAGACTCCAATCAAAATTTTCAAGATTTCAGAGACTCCAAGTATTTAGGCTGGTTCCTTTATTACTTTGTATCTATTTAATGCTGCTATGAATATACTGGGGACAGATTCAGTGTGGTTTTTCACTTTAATTATGGAGAAATATCTCACAGCTGGGGCCTGTAATCTTTTGCTTCTAACTTAAAAAGTAGTTAGGCCTCAAGAATGGCCATGTAGAGATTTCTTCCCAGTGAGAAGATCACAAGTAATGCAGCATCCTACACTGAGCACCTCTCCTGTGTTTATTGTCATCGTCCGGGTAACCGCTATGGGAGCCCTGAGCTTAGAGAAGCCTGCAGTAGAGTCTGGCCATTCCTGCCCGGTCCTGTGAGGGCAGCCATGTGTGCGGGTGGCCACACTGTGTGCATGTGGCTACACTGTGTGCAGGCGGCCACGCTGTGTGCAGGCAGCCACAGTGTGCATGTGGCTACACTGTGCAGGTGACCATACTGCGTAGCTCCCTTTCCCCAGGAAAGCACAGGTCTGCATTGTTCACGTCCAGAAGTCGGTGTTGGCTCTGACTATGGGAGACTGGCTTAGAGCTCAAAGGGTGAACTGCATGGAGCAGGTAGGCAGCAGGATTATGTGTCCTTAAGAGTCATCACGAGCATTTGCTCACTGTTGCATCTCTTTTCCTCATCGGCACCCTTCCCGCCTTTACTCCTGAGCTCTGGCTGAGCTCATAGGAAGCATGTCCTCAGGTGGTCAGGGCCAGGGCTGCCACCCAAAGGGCCTGGTCTGAGCCGTGCTGGTCTCTTGTCCCAGAGATGCCATCTGCTTGTCCCCCGTGTGCTCACCAACCACACGATCCACAGAAGCTGTGTCACCGTCAGGTGCCGGAGGTGGACGTGAAGCCGGGGGAAGAGGGTGTTTTAAAATAGAGGCTCTGGCATTACTTAGGGGTGGCCAGGCCGACAGGTCAGCAGACAACTGCCACCCACATGTGTTGTACTCACGGACCCCAACCAATCCCTGGGAGGGTCAGGAGCAGAGGGAGAGGCAGCCTGTGGCAGGAGCCCCTGTGGCAGTTTCTGGAGGAGTGGGGAGGCTGTGGGCAGGATTGGGACTGGCTGGCTGCATGTCTCAGCAGGCCCTGGGCATGGGGTCCTGGCTGACGGTGCTGCCCTGGGTGATGTGGACAGGTGGACGGGGCCAGAGGTGAGCGCCTGGTGAGGGAGGGACTGGGGCATGACTGCTGGATTGGGGGTTTGCATTTGAGAAGTGAACCCGAGTGGGTGAAGCTTCCTGTCTGTGGTACTTACTGGACAGGTGGCAGAGACGCAGGTGTGGGAGGAGAGCAGAGGCTGGGTCTGCCCAGCACGGCCTATCAGGGGTCGGCCACCATCACTGCGTTTGTCAGAGACTGAGAGGCAGGCGGGAGAGGGATGCCTTTTAGGGGAGATATAAACCGTGTCGTTTCATTTTAGCCAAGAGGTCTGTCTTCCTCTTTTAAGAAAAAATACAGTAGTTTTGCTAACTTATGAATTATGTTGGCTGTGTAGCTCCACTGACATTCTTCATAACATTTTTTAGTAGGAAAGTGTGTTCTAAATTCTGAATGAGAATGCAGAAGTTAATACCTGGAAGTCTGCCCATTCTTAAGACTGAGACTCCATGTAAGAGAAAAATAGGGGAGTTCTTTGGGAATTTCGGCGTGAAGTAAATGAGGAAATCGGTGATCAGTCCCTGGGGCTGCAGGAACCCTACTGTGGATACCGAGGTGAGACCAGTCAGGGTGCTCTCCCCCCGACTTTTCTTGTGTTGTCCAGACAGATCCCTGTTTCTCAATAGCATCTCCTGGGCTCACTTGCACTGTAATTAGCAGGGCTTGTTCCTATTTTCCTCGCATAAGCGAGCGAGGAGGTGAGAAAGTCTGACAGGCAGGAAAGTGTTCACATAGCTCCGACTACATCCGATGACTTGTGAGCTCAGCTTCCACCTCTCCGTGCGCTGAAGGCCAACTACCCGCTCCCCAACACAGCCCTGGG